ACCTCATGGGCCATACTTTGAGAATGTGTCATGAATGAAAAAGAGCAAATCAAAAATAATTGGTTCTTTATTTATAGAGGGAAGTAAAATAAAACTTTTATCTACCGTGAGCAATAAATGCTGACCAGCTCTTTTATGCTCATTTCAAATCCAGGCCTGCCTAGTGACATATGAACTGGGAGGAGCCAACGGAAAGGAAGTTGATGCTTTCTGAGGACACAGGTCTTACTAGATGTCTTTGTGAGAAGCCAGTCTGAGCAAGGGGTATCACTTCTGGAAGACTTGTACAATTTCAGGGAGTGATAGCAAGGTTGCCTCCTTTCCTCCTTTTCTCTTACCTTTTTAGCACCTAGAGGGGAAGCTTTGAGTAGTTTCCTATCCTCTAATGCTCCCATCCCTCACCTCCCCATTCTTTTCTCCTAGTAAGTTTCTATTTGCAACCCTTTGAACTTTCTAAAGGAGGAAAACCATAATTCACTGACAAATTAACTTAATTTAGTTGCCAAGCTCTTGAAGCTTGTGATATGAGAATACTTGTGGTTTTCTTCTTTCGGAGCTGAACTTTTCTTTGGGCAAGATCTATCTAGTTTGTCACAACAGCAGCCACATTACAACTCTAGAGATGAGACCTGTAATTTCCCCTCCACGTTGCCTTGTTTTTTAGTGTACATTAATTCATTCTGTACAAGTCAAATTTATGAGTGTAGTTGTTATGTAGTAATGCTAAAAGAAGCCTCTTTAGGAAGTTACCGAGAGAGTCCTCTGCATCAGGTGGGCAGCAGCATAGGAGCAGTGCAGTCTATTCAGGATTCACCTGTTGGCCTCTTTGAGCAGTGTAAGGTGTTGCTTTTGTCTGTAAAGACCTAAAAAGGTCGTATTTGCAGAAATGTTTCAGTGAAGTCCTCTGCTAGAAACATGAAGATAGGCAGAAGGCAAATTCCCTAACATTTACTCCCAGTGAGATCTGGCTTGAGTGTCCTTTGGGAGTGTTAGGGTTAAGTCCATTCTTTATTTGCTTGTTTGTTTTTTGAGTCAGAGTGTTGCTACATAGTAGTTCGTAGTTCAGGCTGGCCTAGTATTCACAGCAGTTCTCTTGCCTCAGCCTCCTTAGTGCTGAAATCATAGCGTGTGTCACCACGCCTGGCTAGGTTTGAGGCCATTTTTTAAAACCATGTGGGATAAATAGTGACATGTCTTTTAGCAATAGTAGTCTTCAGACCTTAATGACTTTTTTGGGGGGGTTACTGAGGACCAAACCCAGGGCCTCACACATATTAAACAAATGCTCTACCACTTGCCTACATTGCTAGCCCCCTAATTACTTACTGATTTTAATATAACCATATGTTTGATCTTTGCAGCATGCACTTTATAAAGAAAGAATGTTTATGTTATTGAGAATAATTAATGTTTACATCTTGTTGGAATACTGCCAGCTATTATCACAGAGACTGCATCATGTTATTTGGAAATAATTTATTGATTAATTCCTCTTTCACCAACAGGTTTGCATGGTTTTCCACAGAAAATACTGGAGTATCTGCCACTTTGGCTGGCGCGTTTACTAGGGGAATGAGATGGGCAGTGTTGGCATGTTCTACACAGACCCAAGCCTTTGTGCTTTTAATCTCCCTTGGAATGAGGCCCAGAATTCAAAGCAGGAGGGCACTGAATGTCGCCAGCTTTGTTTGAGAAGCATTTCAGTGTGATGTTTCTGTCTTGAGAACCCAAGAAATGCTACATTGGCAGATACAGGGTCTCAGCTGGCCCAGCCTTCCACCTCTGACAATGGCACTGAAGGATGTTTTGTGTGAAGGTGTTCCTTACGCTGGTAGCCTTCTGGGCTTTGTGGGTCTCCCCAGGGTCTCCAGCTTCCTATAATAGTCCGTGGTGGACATATTACCCAGGAATGTTTCAAACCTCCTCAAGTAGTATTCATTTGTGTCAAATTCCAGAAGTCAGCACATATTTGGATGCTTAGTTTATGCCTAGGACAATACTAAGCATTGTAGAAGAGAGAAGTGATACTTAATGCTTGATCCCTAGTCTTCCTTGAGCTTTATTCTTTCTCAGTTGGAGCCGTAGGAAAAGGTGGACAGTGAGAGCGGATGTCACCTGGGAAACACCAAGCACACCACCCGTGGGTCAAACTCAGTAACAGCTCATAGAGACTACTGTCTAAAGCAAAATGCCGTGTTATTAATAATCCATGTGGAAAAATACAGCTGTTGGGGTTAACACTGTGTTCTCTTTCTATATGTAATTCTCTTTCAAAATTGTAATCAGATGGCTGATTATTGAACAAGGGAAGCTTAAGCCGGTATAACTGAGTCATTGAGTATGACAGCCCAACAGTCATTTCACAGTGACTAGAAAAAGACCACGGTTGTCTGTCGGATGTATTATTTTAAACCTGGTTGACGATCTTCTCTTCTGGGTGTTCAATAATTGAGGTAGGAGACCAGAGCTAGAAAAATAATTGGGCTAAGAGACCAGTCAATATTTTGGCCCTGGGTTCCAAGGTCAACAAGGAGCTAGGACATGTGGGACCTTTCCACAAGATCCTACAACTCTGGTGAGTCACCCAACCTCCTGAGCAGGGGGATTGTTGGGCCCACATTCAAAATGTACGGTGCCAAAATGTACAGAGGGTCACCAGAGAGAGAAGTCTCCCATGCTTTCACAGAAAGCTACATGGTCAAGCAAGACTGTGACCTATCTTAGCTCCTGATACTGACAGAGGAGCTGAGAGGGTTTATACATGGTTCCAAAAGTAATGCCCGAGGAGACTTAACTGACCTTGATATATATAGGGAGGTTAATTTTGGTTAACACAAGTCTCACTTTAACCTGATCTTAAACACCCAGCAGAAAAGTGCTGTATAACCAAAAGATGTATAAAAATAATGCCGTAGTAATAAAGGCTAGATGAGGGCTCAGTCACTGACCCCCGCTGGCAGTTTCCAGCTATGCCTGTAGTAAATCACTGTTATGGTTCAGTGAGGCTAAAAAGCCACACTAAGAGCTATAAAAGCTCAGCAAGAGTCTTTATATTCCTTAGCTAAAATTGTCCCTCACAACCACCAAACTCTTCATCTTCTTACATCTAAGACTAGAGGGACTTGGGTACTAATAAATAAAATTTGTTGCCTTTACATAAGTAATTCAGATCTGGTGAAGAAAAAAATCTTAAAAGAAACATCAGACTTACAGATAAGCTCCATCAGTAGAGAGGACTAGGAGCCAGCTGGTCACAATCCCTGTTCCACACCCTTAAGAGCAGTGTCTGGATGTGACTCTTTCCTCAACCTGCCTTTCCATTCAAGTGCTCTTGCTTTGAATGTACATGCTTTAATCTCTTGGAAAAATGAGTTTATTTTCACCTACAGGCTGCCAGACTCCCTCTATGAGATCCATTAGATTGACCTTGTAAAGGGAGTTCAAAACTATTAAACCCCAACATGACTTCTAAACAAGGCCCATTAGATTAGCTCTCTGGAGAAGGCCCCTGACTGTGGTCTCCCCTACAGACCCTTCTCAGCTCAGAGCAGCTAGATTGAAACTTCACCCATTCTCCCCTAACCGGAGTTAGGAATATTCCTTCAGAGGGGGAATATTATAGGCAGCTAAGTTAGGTAAAAATTAATAGGCAGTCAGACAGAGACAGGCCCTCAAGGAAATCAGTGCAGTACACACCAAAACTGTGGCTGGAGGAACATCTGAAGAAGGCAAGACTTCAAGATTAAAGTTACAATGACCAGACTTCCCTAAGGGATGAATGGAAATTTGAGATTTTACTGTAATTGGAACCACCCAATCTGTTAAGTCCAGATATGCATCAGACACCTGAACCCACCCCTTCCCCCAAATTTTCCTGTTTTAGAAGTCATAGAGAAGCCCAGGTTAATGATGTCAGCCATATGTGCCCTTGCTATGTGCCCCGCTTCCCTATTGGATCCATATTAGCTGAGCCATTATACTTATAATCTTACTGGTTGATTATAGTTTGACTCATGTTGTACCCACACTGTAACTTTGCTATTTAGATTACCCCTGACAAGGAAAAGAAGATAAGGAAGCATGAAATAGGAGCGAACCCTACTCTGACTCTGGTTACCACCCTCCATGTCAGTGACATTCAGCATTTCCTTGACCTTTGTGGCCAGAGAAGTACAGTGGTCCTTGGTTCACCAGCTTGACTCTTTCCATGATTTTGGTTGCAAAACAAGTTGGACAAGAATCGAATCAAATTCAATGGTTAGGTTCAGTGTTGACCTTATGGGGAAATTTGATTTGATTCTCTTCCAGTTGGACTTGAGACCAGTATTGTGGAGAGAATTGAGTTTGTGAACCAAAGTACCGCTGTACATGATCCAGTATGGGGCAGTGAGAGGTCTGGTAAATTTTGAGTCTTCTACTTAGGATGTGTTACTTGGGCTCCCTGAGTGCCAATGTACACATTGTGAAATATCATACCACCATATGTGGATATCATACTACCTACCTTATGATTGTTGTTGTTGCTAAGATAATTTAGTAAGATAGTGTATATGAACATTCCTAATACAGAGTAGATACTCAATAAATGTTGGCTGAATCTAAGTTGAGTTGATTTCTTTGGAAAGAAATTTATCCTGATGACCACTTGCCTGGTTACCTGGGATTTCTGAAGTGGCTGATGGGGCACTGTGTGAGGGAATAGCGTGGTTTCCTTATGCATAGGCTTCAATATACTGTAAAACTTCAGCGAGGTGTGGTGGTGTATGCCTGTAATCCCAGCTCTTGGGGGGCTGAGGGAAGAAGATTAGGAGTTCAAGGCCAGCCTGGACTACATACCAAGACCTTGTCTTTGAATGAAAACAAAAAACTGTCACAAAGTTCTACGTTAAGCCCTTTGGGCTACTGTGGTTTCCTTTAAGTGGTCCTATTTGGCCTTTAAAATCTACAAAATTGTTGCCAAATATTTTTAGTACTAACTAATCTAATATTCTTCCTTGTAGGTGCGAAATGGCCACATCAAAAGAATCACTGATAATGACATCCAGTCCCTGGTGCTAGAAATTGAAGGGACAAATGTCAGGTAGGTGGCCAACTCTGTTCTCCCGGATATGTGCTGTACTCAGAGGAGTATGCTGTTGACATTAACACAGACTGCAGAGTCAGGCTACCTTGTGAGTCCAGCTCTGCTACTTAGAGCTTACCTTGGGCGAGTTACTTAATCTCCCAGGCCTTTCTTCCCCCATCTGTGAAATGGGGATAATTACATATTCCTTACAGGACTGTTGTGAGGATTAAATAAGTGAATATGTATAAAACACTTAGTAGAGTCAAGCATAGCACATAGTAAGCATGATGTAACTGTTAACTATATTATTATTTAACCAGAGGATGGTTGGGGTGTTCCAGTGGATGGCCAGTGTGGTTTTCAGTTCCATTGTGGTCTTCATTTTGGTTTTCTGTGTCATAGCTCTTTTGAACCAAATGTGAAATCTTCTGGCTGGATGAACGTCCTAAGTTCCACTGGTCTGATTTTGGTGTTCAGATATTTTTTTGTTAGTCCCTTGTCCCTAGTCCCTTGATACAAGGTTTTGTTCTTGAGTCCTTTTTTTGTTTGCTTTTTGAGACCAAGTCTCACTTTGCAGTTCAGGCTGGCCTTGAACTCACTACATACTCCAGGTTAGCCTTGATCCTCCTGCCTCAGCCTTTCAAATGCTGAGCTTACAAGTGTGCGCTGCCACATGTGGCTTCTGAGTCCATTTTTTAAACCATTCATTGACTGAAGGGTTGATGGACTCATTGGATAATATATATGAATCTTTTAAATCTGCTTTCCAGTTTTTCCTCTGGACTGTGTGTTGTTATACATAGTTTGTTTATTGATATTTCCTCTCTACAGCACTACATATATCACATGTCCTGCAGACCCTAAGAAGACATTAGGAATTAAGCTTCCTTTCCTCGTCATGATTATCAAAAACCTGAAGAAATATTTCACCTTTGAAGTACAGGTAAGTATCTGTATATCAATGTATCTTCCTTGACCTGTAGCAAAAAGATATCTATCCAACTTTAGGAAAAAGTGGCCCTACAAAAATATTATCCTTTTGTGTGTGTTCTTTTCTGCCTTTACTATAATCCTTATAGAACCTTTGTTATCATGATATAAATTTGGTATTAGTATTGAAAATTTCATGTCAGGCTTTTAAAGAAATATTAAGCACCTAGAAAATCTAGTCACCAGCTATTAAAAAATTTCAAAGCTTAAAGGTTAGCATGGTGTCCATTTGAGGAATGATTATTTAATGCTGAGATACTGTTCTCTATTTTAGTGTTTTTGATTTTGCACAGGGAACAGTGTTTATGAAATCATTCTATGGTCTGAGAGCCTGACAAGTATGTCATATGTCATAACCAGTTGGTGTTGTCTTGGCAACAAATAGGATAAACTTGTTACTTACAGGCCGTCTGTGTCTAGTATGTGACCTGTATCTGGTCTGTTTATTTTCCTCTGGGTTTCAGCTTTGGGAAACTGAGCTGTGAGAATTGAAGTCCTTAATAAGGTTGTGTGATCCTGCCAAGATGGAGTTGACTTGACTCTTCCACTTTATATGTCACAGGTACTAGATGATAAGAATGTGCGCCGGCGGTTTCGGGCAAGCAACTATCAGAGCACCACTCGTGTCAAACCCTTCATCTGTACCATGCCCATGCGGCTGGATGATGGCTGGAACCAGATTCAGTTCAATTTATCCGACTTCACCCGGCGGGCATATGGCACAAATTACATTGAGACCCTAAGAGTACAGGTACTGCTTTTTTTGCAGATGGAGCTCCACACTGGGGACATGACAGGGTATGCTGTATCTGTTGCTGCCTTATGGGCCATGTAGATTTCTGGCTGAAGTTCTCAAGTCACTGTCCATGGGGTTTTGGCCTCAAAAAGGTCCAGGAATATTCAGAAGTCTGCTCAGATATGGGTGGATCCACCAAGCATAATTCCTTTCTTGCTTGAATCTGCCCCTGAGCTGAGCTGAGGAGATGCCAGAGAGATGCAATTTTGACAGCACCATGAGAGGGCCTCTAGGAGAATCAGGAAAAGAGGAAACCAGTCATGTCAAGCCTGTCAAAATGAGTCTTACCTCCACAGATCCATGCAAATTGCCGCATCCGACGGGTTTACTTCTCAGACAGACTCTACTCAGAAGATGAGCTGCCAGCAGAGTTCAAACTGTATCTCCCAGTTCAGAACAAGGCAAAGGTAAGGCAGCCTTCCTTAGGGGAAGCCAGGTGGGGGTAGGAACTGTGGAGCTGTGTCCTGGAAAGTGCTCTAGTCTGAGCTCAGCTGCTAGGCCTGTCTAGATGACATTTTGGAGTGTCTTATATCATAAGATGTTAGGTCTTCCAGCATCAGGACTGAATCAAGGATGCCCCTGTGAAATACTCTCCAACTGCCATCTCCTCGCCTACAAATAATCCTGCCCCCACTGAGGGCATGCTGTTGCTTCCTGCTCTCAGGCTGCCATCTGAGCCTCTTTGTCAGTCCCCAGTTCATAACACCCAGTAGGTCCCTGCTAACACATGGCCTGTGGGTATAAGCCTAGAGTCCACTCAGATGTTACCAAAGATAGAGGGCTGGTGGCACTAGCTGTTTTCTAATAATTTAAACTGATGCCTCTTTTTTGTTTTTCCTTCAGCAATAACTGGAATGCAACTTGAGATAGACCCTGAACGTAACTCTTAAGGAGACTACCTGGAGAACAGTGCAAAAAACATTCATACTTCACTGTGCCTATGGTCAGCTTGTCATGGGCACTAGTTACCATAACTCCATTACTGCATTGTAAGTACAGTGGAGGATAAGCAGTACTTTGAGTGATGTACGACTGCTGGAGTCTCTCCTGCTGCCTGCCCCAGTGTGTGGGGAGATACTTTTACCACGAACTTAGAGAATTAAAAGTTGTCCGATAAGGCAATTTCAGGCCAATATTTCTTCCTACAGTTTATTCTTGTTTTATATATATCTAAATATATATATATATGCTGTGTAGTACTCATCTGGAAATAAAATACTGTATTCTTGGTTTGTAAATTTGTTCATTTGCCTTTTTTAATGATGAGGTTTTTCTTTCCTTTGTGATATGAAAATAGAGTTACTTCCTGTGAACATGCCATATGTTTCATGCTCCACTTAAAAGAATGAGATAGATTTGTATACACTGATTTGGGACAACTTTCAAGATAAGCTAAATGGGGGGTGGGGACCAACCCACAAACAGTATCTGGCCAGTAGAATCCTCTCACTAGCACTGGGTCCTAAGTTGAGCCTAAGACAAAATGACATATAGTCCAAATTGCTCTTAAAACACCTCGCAAGGTGCCATATTGGAGCCCTTTTTGTTTCATGTTTTATGTATAGGACTCAGCATTGGAACGGATCACCATTTCCCCTGAGTTCCAGATGGAGTACTTGCCTTGAGTATAGGGACTTGCAGGAAATGTTTCTTTAAATACTGGAATCATACAAGGGAACTGAAGCTTGCAGCACGTTTCCCACTCACACTTATTCTGGGACATATGGCTCTTTAGCAGAATGACCCTGACACTGTTGCACTTTGGGGGGCAGGGGGAGGTACAAATAGTTAAATTTGCAAAAGTTTAACACTTATATGATGCAGCTCTATGACATTCCCCTCAATTTGTCATTGAGGGAAAGCAATCTGGGGACAGAGCAGAGCATATATAGATATGCCTAGATGATCTTGAAGGACACAAATAGTACAGTGATTATGTCTAGACAAAATGGGTCCCATGTAACTTGTATACTTTTTGTACTAGAGAATTTGGGAGGTTACTAGAGGTTTGAACCTAGGGCCTCATGATTGCTAGGCAAAACATTCTACCACTGAAGTATACCCAAAGCCTCAAATTTTTATTTTTTATTTATTTTTTTATTAATTAATTTTATCGGTACAGTTTAAATATATGCCCTAAATTTTTAAAAAGAGGAATAGTTAATGTCATAAAAAGTTCAAATTCAAAAAAACACAAGTCCATTCCAGATACTGTGGTCTGCCAGTCAGACTCCGGATTTGCTTTCACTCCACAGGGATAAGGGCTGGAATTGTGGGCACCAGCCATTTTTACTTTGGATGAAGGTGGAAATATGAACTCAGATTTCTGTCATTACTATTGCTGTCTTATGAGAAGCTGAATGGCAAGAATTACTGTGGGAGGCTGAGGCAGAAGGAGCACAAGTTTGAGCCCAGCCTGGGAAAATTAGAAACTTAGCAAGACCCTATCTTACAATAAAAGAAATTTAAACTAAAAAGAGGTAGGGACGTAGCTCAATGTAAAGGGCCTGGCTTCAATCACCAGTACCAAAAAACCCCCCAAAAAGGTAAAAGCATCCTCTCTTCTCCACATTCTTATCCTGTGTGTGGTGCTCTGGGTAAGCATGACCAACAGAGGAGGGCAGGGCCACTAGAGTGTGTGTGTTGGGTGGGTGAGGGGGACGTTGCTGCCTTACATGACTGACCATTTCTCACAGGTCCCAAGAGCCTGATGCTCAGGTTGGCTCAGTTAAGACAACTTTACCCTTTCTCTGGGGCCACCTTTCCACAGGTATTGCCCCCTGTCCTTTGAGAGTCACAGTTCAGCATGGGGGAGCACCCCTCAGCCCAGTTGACAGCTTGCTCTTTTAGGGCCACCTCCAGTCAAATCTGAATGTTGTCCCCTTTCTCTGTCCTTCAGTATATCAGCCTTCACACTGTTAGACACTATCTGCCTGTCTCCCTAGCTTTCTGGATTACAATAGGAGTCCCCCAAATAGGTAGGCATGGTCAATGACTTCGGAACTTCTTGTCCCCGGCCACTGTATAGTGAAATCTTCCTTGCAAGGTGGCGTCAATTGTGGGATGAAAGATGCTTTTGTAGGGAAGAGAAAATCTAGGTTAGCCTTTCATCTCTTGGTGCTGGGATGTCAGTGAAGAGCTGGGAGTTCAGAGAAACAGGCTCTTTCCTCTACACACATTCCCTTTCACCCCAGGCACTTGTCAGATGGTGCGTGGGGATTATCTCACTGCCCTCTTTGGGGTAGCAAGTGGCAGCTGCTGCCTTCCCAGATGCTGCACATATCCATCCAAGAGGAAGTGAAGGGGCGCTGAGGGCAGTGCAGTGTGTTATCCAAGCTGAGCCAGCCCTGTGTGAGTAGTGGCATCAGCAATTGCGTGGTGTCTTGCCTTCTGCTTTCCAGCTCACCAGGAAGATGAAAACACCAGTTGAGAGGCGGAGGCGAGAAGGAAATGAAGGGCAGGGCTGGAGGCCTCCCTCATGGAGCTTGGGCCAGGGTGATCTTAGATCACAGTAACTGGAGCATGCAGCTCCTTGGAGGCCATGGTGTATTTTTAGAAGGAACTGCCTTCTAAGTGAGAGTGTTAATTGGCATAAACTCGAAGGAAAAGCATGCAAACATTCCCAACAGGGTTCATACTGGGGAGAGCAGATCCACGATAGTGCTTATTTGCCACTGGCCCATTGACTGCTTCCTCAACAGCCATCCTAGCAGATGAGTTGCACCAGCAGCATGTCTGAGGGATGCAAGTATGCCAGAAGACATCCCCAAACCTGCCCCTTGGTGGCTGAAAAAGATCTCGGACCTTTTTTTGTCTGATCATCACTCACCTTGCTTTACCGATGAGGATACTGGGACCCAGAGAGATGTGCCAGCCCCTCTAGATGACAGGAATGAGAGCCCAGTTTATTTTACAAGAGTCCTTTTCCATCCCTGGTATAGATGTCAACTGCCTCGAAGACTGGAGAGGGCTCTGCCCCGGCAGCAGAGCCAGCCGGGTTTGTCACCACATGGTTGCATGGGAGCTGAACCCCAGGGCTTGAGGCTGAAGGCAAAAAGCTCAGGGACAAAGTTTGAGCTTCATTAACAGGTCATAAAAGTAATATATGCTCACGGTAAATTCAAACTATACAAAGGGTATGAAATAAGGTATAAGTCCCAGTTCTCATTCTTGGAATGCAAATATTTACATGTATTAATAAAATGTGGTTGTCCTTTCTTCCTGCACCTAGTCTTCTAGCATGTGCATCCTCTTCAAGTCCCTGATCACTGTTATTTGAGTTCTCCCAGGAAGGCCTCCCAGGAATTGCTGAGAGCAATTCTTCCTTCCCTCCATACTCCCCCACCCTTCCTATCTTTCTCTTTCTCTCTTTCTTTCTCTCTTTCTTTTTCTTTCTTTCTTTCTTTTCTTTCTTTCTCTCTCTTTCTTTCTTTCGTTTTTCTTCCTTCCTTCCTCTTTTCTTTCTTTCTCTCTCTCCTTTCTCTCTCTCTCTCTCTCTCTCTCTCTCTCTCTCTCTCTCTCTGTCTCTCTCTCACTCTATCTCTTTCTTTTTCTTTTTGTGTGGTACTGGGGATTGAACCCAGACACCACTGAGCTATGTCCCACCCATTTTTTAATTTTTTTGAGACAGGGTCTTGCACTATGTTTTCCAGGCTGGCCTCAAACTTGTGATCCTCCTGCCTCAGCCTCCTTAGTGTGTGTAGTATATGCCACAGCACCCAGGTGCTAGGAACATTTCTTCTTTTTCTTCTTTTTTTTTTTTGGTACTGGGGATTGAACTCAGGACCTTGTGCTTTCGAGATAGTGCCACTGAGCTAAATCCCTGGCCCTGCTAGGAACATTTCTAAGAAAGGTGGCACAGATAGCTTGGTACATTGGGATACTGCTTTTGGGGTGGCACCATGCCTTCATGCTGCCTGGAAGGTCAGGTGCAGAAGCCACCCCCATCCACAGACAAGCACATAAGTCAAAGGCCTGACAAAGTCTGTGTGGCTCTCGTGGGCTAAGGCTGGGCATAAATAGCCTAAGGCTTCCTGTTGGAAGACCAGGCTCCTGCTTTATCAGGCCATTGACCATAAAATATCTGTTCACAAAGCATCTAACTTTGGGCATGAGTGCACATACCTGTAATTTCAGCACTCAAGAGGCTGAGGCAGGAGGATCATGAGTTTGAGGGCATCCTGAGTAACACAGAGCCACTCTCAAAAGAGCCAAAAACAAAAACATTAGCTAATAAATATATTGAAAGCTTTCAAGGGGCCAGACAACATTTTAAGCATTTTACACATATTATTTTACTGAATTCTTATACCATTGAAAAACGAACTATTATTTCCATTTTATAGATGAAAGATCCAAAAGCACAGGGATTAATATGTGCCCAAGGTCACACAATCATCCCCTAAGTGCTAGAACAGGTTCAAACAGGTTGTTGAACCCCAGTGCTGGGCACTTAAATCTCTCAAGTTCTTTGACCAACTGTTTTCTCCTAAACAAAATCAGCCTGGTGAAAAAGCATGTGAAACTGCTGGACTGGAAGAGATCATCCGTGAACCAGCAGTTTTATTTCTTGTGTTATCTTCACAGTGGGTACCATGTGGCAGAGAAAGGGACAAATGATGGCCAGCACAACCCCACTGGAGAACCTTACAATCAAAGTGAAGAGTGACAAAAATAAGGCACCCTATAGTAAGTACGATTCCATTGGTATAAATTACAGAGCTGGGGATGTAGCTCAGTGATAGTGCACTTGCCTAACGTGCATAAGGCCTGGGTTTGTTCCCAGTATCATCCAAAAAATTTTCTTAAAACATGTTGTACGATCCAGGCAGGGGACTGAGTGTGTTAAACAAGGAGAGAGTTTTAACTGAAGGTGGTGGTGATGGGGTTGGGGACACACAGGGCCTTCTGCAGCAGTCCTCTGCTTCTTAACTTGAGAAGTGTTTACATATGGATTTTTTAAGTTATTAACTTACACACATTGAATATGTTCTTCTGATGGTGTTTCTCAATGTTCAAAAATCAAATTCAGATTTCTTGGCCCTGGCCTATTAAAACGCAAGTTGCTGGGGCCCAGATCATTTAAATCAAGATGAATTGTTCCCAAACTAAAAGATA